AAATTGAAAAACGAACTACAAACATATTGACGCCAAATATTCGGTAGAATTTATAGAATATTGTAAATATATATATAATATATATATATATATATAATTAAAAAAAATATTTAAAAAATATATAAATAGATTAACTCAGCCGAACGACACACGCACGCACGGGCAGTGCATCTGGTCTGATGACACTTTATAACGTGAAACAGGCATTCATTATTTCAACTATTCACATCGAGTGTATATATTGCTTTACAATATATTGTATAATGTATATATATACAAATACACACACAGATATATGAACATATATGCGATTTGTATATATATATATATATATATATATAATTGATGAAAATCACAGCATGTTCGGCGTTTGTTAACATCCAATTCAAGTTTTGCCCGTTGTTGAATATTTATTATCGGATGTCTTTGTTCTATGAGTATTGATTCGGCTAGTCGTAAATTATAATGGTTGTTATTGTAATGTAAGATTTCAACATTGTGGTCCAAGATTTGTTTAGTAATTTTAGTTCTATGTTTCTCTTTCGTGTGATTCTTTATAGCGCCAGTTTGTAAGTGCATCGTGATTCTTCTCGATAACTTAGTCGTCGTCATACCAATATATTCGGAATTATGATGCCCACACCCACCAATATTACATTTCAACAAATATATTGGATCCATTATCAATTCTGGTTTACTAGTGCAGTTGATTTTCATCGCAAGAAATGACGTTCTTTGGTTGGAGTAGTATATTCGTAGTTTAACACTATCGTTTTCGTTTGTTGCTAAAAACCTTATTTTTTATGATTCTTTTCATAATTTGTTCTTCCTGTTCGAAAGCGGTTGACATGTGATTCTTATAATATATTACTATGTTATTTTTGTTATTATTTTTGTCATTACACGAGGAAACCTAAGAATTTTCAAAAAAAATTGAAATAGAAAAATTAATGGACGACTTATTCAAATTAGAAAGTCAAAAACTTATAACACTCAACACAAACATTGTTAACAACCTAAAAGCTGAAAGCAAAAAGTTGAGAGGTAATTTTGAAAGCAAGATTCTTACAACAGCAGCAACTTTAAAAAATAACAGCAACATTATTGTCCGAAAAGCTGACAAAACTCCAATGTATGTTATTATTTATAAAGATGATTACAATGACCTCTTCCTTAGTGGCGTAGATATCACAGATTCATCAAACACCATCCGCCCGCCCTCCTTTCCGAGAATAAAGGGCCCCAAGAATATAAAAAAAACTCGCATTTGATTAATGTTTAATTTAATAATTGTTTAATCCTGCATAAAACTTACGCGCATGTTCTGTGATAATATGCGTCTATTCGCCTATTTTTCAAATTCCGAGTTCACCAGTGTGTAAGTCGCCACAAATTTGCATCAGATTTATCCTGCAGTATGCAAATGTCATTGTAACATTGGCGCGTTTGAAATCGTCTACAAAGAATGCAAACAAGTGGAACGTCTAATAGAAAATTTTCAGTTATCGTTATCGTGGAAGAAAATTGAATATGCCACTGCAGTCAAAATTTGCAGATGGAGTTTGTCAGTCCTAAAGATTTAGGATATCAAATTTTTTTTAATATAAAATCTAGGACATCAAATCATTTTTCGGTAAGCTGTCAAAATGTTTTTATCTGTAATCTTTTTGATATTTCACTAAATGTCTTTTCTATAGTCAGCACGTGATTGTGTCTTTGTAGACTCAGGTTAATGCACATAAGATAAATTTATGTTCTTGAAACTTTTCAAGTGCATCCTATAAATAATTTCAATGTCAGACCAGTTACTGTCACATTAAGTTTCTCTACGGATGTATAATGGCAACATGATAATTTTTGTTTAAAATAGTAGTGAAAAATTAATGAAAATATTTTATTTCAGAAAATGTTTGCCAAGTTATTAACAGCGCTTACCATCCAATTAAAATTTCACATGGAACCTGTGCCCTCACGCATTTAATCTACGTCACTGCCATTTCCCACGCTGCACTACAGTAACAATCAACTTGATTTTTTTTCTTACATAATAAAAAATTTTAATTAATTAAATTATTATTAAATAGTTATTTTAATGGGTTTATTTGTTATTTCAACTGTAAATCACAAGTTTTTGATTTTAAAAATGGTTTGGTTTTCCATAGTTTAATTAGGACCATCGGACGTTGCGACAATCTAATGTCACAGACGTTTGTTTGTTGTTATCAAATTGCTCGGGTTGGGGTTGATTATCATTTAGTGTCGACGGATGCTTGAAGATTTTTATTTAATTATTTATTTTTTTAATTATTTAATTAATTATTTGAGTTGAGTTGGTGCTGGTTGGCTGTAGGACTCGCGCATTCGTTTGAAATTTTAAAAGCGTTTTTATGGAAATTTCGTCCATTTTTTAATTTAATTTTTTTTTTAATATTAAATGTTTTGTTTTGAGTTCTTTTGACTTTTGATTCAAAACTTTTTAAATTGAAAGTTTGAAGTAAATTAGGTAAGAAGTTATATCTCTATTATTGACATCATAAATAATCAGTTTCTTTTTTATTTTATTTGATTAACATTAGTTTTTAACTCATGTTTTGTTCTTTAATGCTTGTTATGTAGGCATAAAGTGCGTGGTGGATATACTTTATTGGGGGATATTTAAAAAATAAATAAAATATGATTTCATTTGTTTTATAAATAAATTAAATTAGTTAATTCATAATTTTAATTTAATATTTTAATCAATCTAAAATTGAACTGTTGTAATTCAGTAACAATTGCAAATAAATTGTTATATCATCTGAAGTTATTACTTACTAGAAAATTTTGAACTGAATCGAGAAAAACAGTTTTGTGTAATTGTTAGTTCCGCCTTGTGGTTTCATCATCATCATCCTACTCATCACATCATCTGTCTTTCGACATTGTAATCATCTCAAACAAACCCATCATCATCACCATCATCCAAGATGGCCGGCATGTCACAACAGAGAGAATCTTGGCAATATCTGCTTGAGTTCAACTGCATATTCAGAAGTGTATGTTTGGTTTCTCTGTGATTATAAATTTTCTATGAAATTTCTAAAGAATCATTAATCATCATTAATTAGAAATGATTTGAGTTATTTTAAAATTTAATAAAAATTAAATTTACTCCTCATGTAATTTGATACAAGTCCCAACATACATGATCAAACATGCACACAAGGAAATACATACACACAAGTATATATACAAACACACACATGTGTATTGTATATATATACACATACACCGACAGACTTCAAGTGAGTATTTGAATTGCAAATATTTCTGCAACCTCTGCAACTACCACTGTAAAGATGTGGAGCACTCCATCAGACATTTGGAAAGGGATGATAAGCACTTGAAACTTATGGAGGTCTTTGGCCCTACTGTTCATTCATTTGTTCATTTTTTTATTCCTTTACTCTTGTTTTTTCTCTCATTCATTCATTCATTCATTTATTCATTCTTGCATTCAATCATTCATACACGCACGTGTTGTGTCATTCAGTCATTTGTTTTATTGATTTCTAGAAAAGTATTGCATAAGTTGGCTAGTTGGTTGATCGAGTGATTGATTAGTTGATTGATTGATTTTTAATCATTTTTGATGTAGTTGAAAAAAATTGCATTGGATTTCAAATTTGGGCCAACATCAAACAACCCGACACCGAGGCATCCAGATCAGCTGGATAAATTTCTATCTAATCTGTACCATGCGGTGTCTTTGTCGCCCGAAGATTATGAGACTAGGGAGAGTGTTGTACAAAGGATTAACATAATGATTAAGAAATTTATGCCTGGTTTGTTTGCTTGATTGATTGGTTGGTGATTGATTGGTTTGTTGATTGACTAATTGATTGATTGATTGATTATTTCTTGGTTGGTTTATTTGATTGATTGGTTGATGATTGGTTGGTTGGTTGTGTAATAAATTTAAATTTAGTGAATAAATGATTGATAAAGTGATTGATAGATAGATTGTCAAATAAATGATAGATAGGTTGATGGATGGATGAATGGATTGATCAATCCATCAGTTGATTAATAAGTAGGTTGAATGATTGATTGATTGATAGCATGATACATCAACTACACCCATCAACCAACCGACCAATCAACCAACCAGCCTCGACAAAAGCAGTAGCCAAGATGTACGGATCGACGAGAACGAAATGCGCCCTCCTAACTTCGGATCTCAACATCAACGTTCGAACTGATCGGCCAGTCGAAGTTTTGAAGCTCCTGCATAAGATGATGGTTGAAGACGAGAATGGTTTGTTGATTGGTTGGGTGGCGTGATGTTTTAATGGCTAAGGTGTCTGGCACTGCTGCCTCAGTGACGGGGTTTGAATGCAGAGAGATCCCCATCCAGCACACTTGTGTGTGATGTGTTGACGCATCTGAGGAATATTAAAGAGAGAATTGTGAATTCTATATAAAAATATTATTGGGGTGGTTTATTAGATATTTTGGATAGTGGATTGATTGGTTTCTTGATTAATTAAGTTCCTGCAACTGCGATTAATTAATTATACACATCCATTTTCAATCAACCAATCATACAACCTCCCAATCAACCAACCGCACAATCCCCCGATCAATCAATTCATTCTTTCAAACCAATGCTTTTCACTATTTATACTGATCCCTTATCTGACATCTTCAACAATTATGACTCATCCTTCCAACAATATGCGAATGGCACAAGTATAGTATATGAAATCTCCCACCAAAATATCTCTTCTCATAGATGTAGATTTAACTTTTGTGCCTCATCAATAAAGGACTGGCATTCACTTAATTTCCTTCAACTAAATGCTCGAAATCTGCAATAATGTTTTTCGGTGCACAACAGCAACTCAAAATGTTCTCCACCTTCCAACTTGTCTATTGCTGGGTCAAACCTGTCTACATCAACAAGTCTTAAACTGCTGGCTGTTACTCTCGACCCGTCTCTAACTTTCAAAGCTCACACCTCTGCTCTCATCAAAATATGCTACTACATTATTTGGTCTATGACCTTTCCTGACAGTTGAAATGGCCTCCACGCTAGCACGCTGTCTTGTATTATCTCGATTCGACTGCTGCAACTCTCTGTTACATGGCACTCCTGCATATCCAATTTCCTCCCTTCAGATCATTCAAAACAGATTAGCCAAACTTGTTCTAAATGTTGACTTTTTTTACACTTTGTTGACATGCATCCAAAAAACTTGCATCCAAAAATCTTCTATTTTTTTAGTCATAATGATTGCTTCATTTTGTCTAACATTTACCACAGCTCTTTCAATCTTATTTCTAAGTTTCTTAAACTGATTGAACTCATCAAATATGATTGGATTTTTGTTAAAGATAAAATTTTTCCACAACTTTTTTCTTTTTTTTTATCAGATCTTTTAAATATTTGGGACATATAAATTTATGTGATTTGGCAAAGCTATTATTGATGTAGCATAGTACAAACAGTTCAGTTGCTTTGATCAAAGTTTGTGAAAAATGATTCCATAGTTTGTTAACACAATCAACATTATCATTTTCGCTCATTTCATCAGACATTTTTGAATTCATTTTTATATATTCATTCATTGAAACATAATCACCTTTATCAAATTTTCTTTTGGTGACATACATAACTTGATTACTTGGGAAGGAATCCATTGCAAAAACTCATTGCACAGTGATCACTCTTTCAAACTGGTGGTAAATACTTCGGCTCTTTGATGATATTTTCATATTGAACTAATAACAGATGTAGAAGATTTTGTGTTTGACTAGCCCTGTATCTAGTGGCACCCTTAATCATCTGAAGTAGAAGATTATCGTTCACAAAATTAACAAACCTACACTCAACAGATTTTGCAACATTTTTGTTGAAATACTCATCCATTTTATATGTGGAGAGTGAAGGCTAACTCGGTATTGTGTATAGGATGTCAGAAGTGGGTGCATAAGAGATGTAGTGGTGTGAGGGGGCACTGAAAAAGGTGGAAGGCACGTTCAAATGTAAGAAGTGTGTTCATGGTGTGTTAAATAGGAATGACGGAGTTGAGTGGTGGTATTGAAAGAGTGGAAAGCTTTGTTTATTTAGGTGTTAAGCTGAACGTGGATGGAGGATGTTTGAGCACTGTTACAGCTAGAGTTCGTGTGGGATGGATGAAATTTAGGAAACTGGGTGGGGTATTGTGTGGAAAGAAATGGTCAGTGAAGATGAAAGGGAGGGTATATAGAGCATGTGTAAGAGCAGCGATGGTATATGGTGGTGAAACTTGGGTGTTGAGGAGAGAGGAGGAAAGTGAGGAGGGCAGAGGGCTGAAAGAGCTATGGTGAGGATGATGTGTGGGGTTAAAGTGGAGGATAGGAGAAGTGGTACAGAGCTGATGTCGATGATGGGACTGAATCAGGACATTATGACATTGATAAGGAGATCGAGATTGCGGTGGTATGGACATGTGTTGAGAAGGGATGAAAGGGTCGGGATTAGGCGAGTGTTGGAGTTCGAGGTTGAAGGAGTGGTAGGAAGGGGTCTCCGCGATTGGGATGGAGAGAGCAGGTGGAGAAGGACAGGGTGAAAGCGGGGTTGCGTGATACTGAGGCGAGTGACAGATGTGGATGGCGTCGAGGAGTATTTCGGTTTCATCATAGATAGCCAAACGGCAACCCCCGATCTCGGGGAAAATGTCGTCTAAACGTGTGTTGTTGTATATGGGGAACATTGAAATCTCCAATCACTATTTTTAATCCTTTCAAGCCAAAAATTGACTTTAATATGGCAAACAACTGTTCATTATTGTAAATATCTGAATTAGGACTTCTGTATATCACCAAAAACAGTAACTCCAGTGAACAACTCTCAATTTTTATGCATATATATTCTTTAAAGGGTATGCCTAAATCAAGTTCAGTCGAATTAATTCCAATCCTCGTGTAGAAAAATATACCTCTGTATCCTTTTTGCATAAAATTAGCAGCATGTAAATTATAGTTAATCAATTTAAATTCATTCTCAGTATATTCTTTAATGATATTTTCACCGTTGGTTTCTGTGAAAATTAAAATATTCTTTGATAAAAACTTTGATTTAACTAATAATTTAATTTTTGTTATGCAATTCACATTAGTTTAAAACACTTCAGCCACTCTCGATATCTTTTTTAATTCTTTCTTAACTTTATAATTTTCATGTTTTTTGGCACCCCCTCCATTACCCGGAACATGAATACAACCTGGACTTTCCAATCCAATCTTCCTTTCCAATCTTTCTTCTTTATTTAAATCTCGTTTGACATGGATATTTCCAAAATCGCCTTCAAGAGTCTTCAACTTATTTAAATTTTCCACGAATAAGTTTTTGTCTTTATTTTTATGGAATTTTATCATGGCAGGTCGGGTCGATCTTTTTCATTTTTTTCCTAAGGCGAAAAACTGATTTATATTATTTTCTGTGACAAGTCCAGCCGTAAGGCGTGAACAAGTTTCTAACACCTTTATTCTATCCTGCTTCCTGCCACTTGCAGGTCCACTATCCACTGCATTTATTTAACCTGTAAATGTTTATTACATTATTCATTCTCTCCTCTAGGTCTGCAACATATTTGATGTCGTTGGTCTTTTCAATGGCTTTACAAGCATTGCCACATTACTAACAACATTAGCCCACGTTTTATCGAAAATTCTCAAAATCTTGGCTACCTCGGGCATGTTATTTTCTAGTTCTGCAAGTTTTTTTTCAGTCTTTGTAGAAAAAATGGTAAAATCCTTAGCAATTGTTTTATTTAAATCCTTAATTCTTGCCCACATCCTCCTCCATTTCATCTTCTTTCTTAACAATGTTTGTCATTTCATTGCCCATTTTGTTTCGTTCCCTCCTAACATCATCAATACTACTGCTTAATGGTTTTATCAACATCAAACATGTCAAATTTGGTAATTCTATCATCTTGTTTGACAAATCTTTTTAAATTCACAGCACTTGTAACGACAAACTCCTCTACTGACTACACTAGTTATTTTTTTAGAAACTACTTTGCTACACTTGGTGCTTTTATCTTCGGGCATATCACTAATTTAACGAAATCAGTTTAAAATTGCGAAAATTTAATTTAGAAAATTTAATTTAAAATATAAAATAGCTGTCATCACATATAAAACACTCAACACATCTCAACCATCATATCTTCACAAACTCATTCGCCTTCGCTCGTCTGTTAATCATCGTCGTCACCTTCGTCAACCGTCTTCATTGCAACTGCATCAACCAGTCAATACATCAACTATCGTCAATAAAGGCTTCTCACATTGCTCACCATCAATATCGAACAGTTTGCCACTCATCATCCGTCAACAATCATCAATAGAAACGTTTGAAAAGCGATTGAAGCAGCATCTGTTTGAAGAGGCCTTTGGCGGCTGTGCTGACACTTGTTTATCCGGGCGCCTCGGACGCTATGCATAGGGCGCTCATAAATGACATTATTGTTGTTATTATTATTATTATTATTATTAACAATCACCCAATCATACAAACCCCCAATCAATCAACCAATCACACAACCTCCAATCAATCAATCACACAACCTCCAATCAATCAACCAATCACACAACCCCCCAATCACACAACTTCCCGCCAATCGATCAACCAATCACAGGAGACTTCATAGACACAGTCGAACAATTCACTAGCAACGTTCCCAACGTTACTACGACGTTTCGAGGAGTTATCAGGAGGGGAAGAGAGGAAGGAGAAAAAGGAATAAAAAATGGTGGTGCTGGTGATGATGGTGGTGGTGGTGGTAGTGACGACGCTGAGGGCGAAAAAAATGAAAAAGAAAAATATGAAAATGCAAACAGTAATATGAATACTAACAATGATGGTGGTAGTAGTAGTAGTAAGGGTAATGATAGTAGTCGTGAGAGTGATAGTAGGAGTGGTGCGGCTAAAAGCTTCGCTATAACGATGGTAGTGAATTTTGATTCGAGCGTCAAGACAACCGAGCTGCT